AGTCCCAACAGATTGGAAAATTAGGATGTTTATCTGTTATCTGTTCTTTTCCTGCAAGTTTCAACGTTTATCTCTTAATGACCAAGGTATATTAAACCGTATTCAAAACCGTTCTGGTATTACGATCCATTCACCGGCTTTTGATCTCTAGTTTGAGTGGAACGCAAAAATTAATTAAATTTTATTTTGGATAGAAAAAAGTACTAAAATTTCAGGCATATATAAAGGTTTAACGCGCGTTGTATTCTTCCGTCCCAATCCCATACACGCAAACACGCTTTATTAATACAACACACATACACACTGGGACAGTCCATGGCTTTAAGAAAGGAAATAACACTAAAACACCTTTTCGGTACTATCCAGCCATTGCTATATTGACCCACAAGACATTTATGTTAAATATTATTAAACATTCTAACAAGGTTAGCACTTTCATTTTTTAAAGGCAAAATAGGCCCTTTGGTTTTAAAGCAAAGCCTATTCGAAAGTAAACTAAGAAAGCTTATGATGACAAAGATTCGTTGGATTTCTTTTAAGAATTTAACCGCAATTCAGACGCCTTCTGTGCGCATCAACATAAATAGCTACTTAATGCTAAAACGGATTTAATCTTTATATTATAATTTGTCAAATACCTGAAAACCTTGAAACAAATTTTTTTTTACGTGAAAACAAATTATATAACTGTACGCTAAAATTTTAAGGTATAAATTGCAAGTGAATTAAAGGCATCATCTCGTGCTCATAAATGAACCGATATGAACGCCACCAATTATTTTGCAAAACCCGCATGTTGCTTGGGACTCATGAATCTATAATGAAATTGTACATTATTTCATATAGACATATATGTAAGCACAAAATGGTCGACGTTCTTTATAATTGCAGCTGGATGGAGTATGTTGTCAATTTATAGCATTTGAGATTCCACGAGTAAACAATTCATATTTGTTTCGGAGGCCAAAGATGCGTTGGAAAACAAACCCTAAGGTTTTAACGGCGCAGTGCCTAGCTGAATTCATGGGTACCATGATCTACGTGTATGTTAACGTAATGTCTGTTGGGACGGGAGCCACCGGGGTTGCAGTGGCATCGGGCCTGCTTTACACGCTGATGATCCTAGGCCCGGGGCAGCTTAGGTAGGGTCACTTTCGGGGAAGTCTATATCTTAAAGAACATAGCAAGTTGCTTAAACGTAATCTGTTTTATTTCGTAGGATTAAGTCAGAACAGGGGTAGGGGACACCCCGTGGCGGTCACAGGTTATGTCATGATGCTGATAAATATTTACCATTCTATCCAATATATAGAAGGGTAAATTGATCATTTAATACTCAGTAAATTGATCATTTAATACTCAGGAATACCATTGACTCATACAGTATATGTATATACATGTGACCTCATTTGTGGAGACAATATCGTTATTTCTCCCATGTCAATTTACTGCAATTCAGTGCTTTTACGTTTACTTACTTCTTAAACAAAGGTAACAAAATGGGCAATATTAAACTTATTGATGTCCCAAGATTTTATTTAGATGTAATGATAAATCAGCGACATGGCATATTGTAAATCGTTGGCTCTTCTAGACATGAACGAAATATTTATTTTATGGAGAGAGACAAAATAATAACCGATCTCTTTCTACCCGCATGGTATCAAAGCTTGACATAGGTTATAAACAAAAGCCCTATTATGCCTATATTATATAGACTCTATTTTATTGCAGTGGAGGAATTTTCAATCCCGCCATAGGTCTGGGTTTTTTCATCGCCAGCGCAGGGCAAATCAAAATCATCACTTTCTTGGCCTTCCTTTTGTCAGAACTATTAGGGGGCCTGGCTGGAGCAGCTCTTGTGCGGGTAACAGCATTGACAAGATACTTTAAATTTACATTCACTCAAATGACAGACACTTCATGTGCAGGCCTATCAACGCATTAAATTTTGAGACTTCATCGTTTTTTGTTTGATATAAAGCATTTTCATAAACTTGGCAATGTAGGTATGAATAATTAGATAATTTAGAACGCGAAGGCATCATATAACTAGTTGGAAAATATATGCTCAAACCCCAGATCTCCAATATATTTCTATAGCAGAGAACACCGGGGTATTAGTCCATATTCTATATAAATGCTGTTCTATAATTCTCAGTTCACCAAATTGTTTCTGTCCATTTTTCATACAAACTCAAGGCCCATAAAAAACAGGAACTACATGTACATTTTAGACATCTTTATAAGATTCTGAATACATGAAAATTAAATTTCATCTACCGCATCTAGTGCACTGTGCTGTAAATAAATATTGAACAAAAAGTTATTAATTCTCCAGATATGCTTAACAAGCGCCGACTACAGTAACGCCACGATGACTGAAGGGGTTCTGTCGCTGAACTTGGCTACTGCTGGTATCGGTGGCGGATTTATGATCGAGTCAATACTGACCTTCTGTCTCGCCATGGCTGTGTATGTCACCTTGGCCAATGGTGACTGGAAACAGCACGCTGGTTGGGGACCCGTTGCCGTGGGAGCCGCAGTCTGTATTTGTACTCTTTGTGGGTAGGTAAATTGATTACATTTGTTTAAATGATAGTAATTTGTTTTAAAAAAGACCCCTTTGCCTTGTGGATAACGTTGATGGGAACTTGGACGAATAAAACGTTATATAATTATAAAGCTAACTACTTGGTATTGGCAATTTATATTACTTATATAAACAGCAAATGTTTTTAGAATACCCTCAGCAAGTAAGTCTTAATTTATAACTCTTAAACTGTAATTATTTATACCATGGTCTGATCAGTTATTTTAAGACACGATGCAAAACTATGGAGTCAACAAACATAAACCAGTGTATCAATGAAACGGATAAATCCAAACACCACAGTTATTTCAGATACGATGCCACGGGGGCTTGCATGAACCCTGCACGTGCGCTGGGTCCCGCGGTTATCGCCTCCTTCTATGCTGATGTCAATATTGCGTGGGCATATCATTATATCTACTGGATTGGACCCGGTGTGGGAGCGGTGACGGCTGCAATAATATACAGGTCGGACTATTTAAAGTTATTATAGAAGATAGGTAACACATTTTTTAAATGTGACCCTTCTATAAATATATGCTTATTTCTGTAATGAATTCTTATATTCATGTCCTGCACTCCAGCTTTGAATGTTCAATACCAGTAAAAAACAAAATATGACTCAGAATTTATCTCAAAACTCATATCTATATAAACATTTTTTTTATTTTATTGCCGATTTGAATGTATTTTTCTCGACATAAAAGTCATCTAGTTTTCACTGAAGTTATTTGATATCTAATATTTTATTTATTATCACATACTTATGTTGGCATTTTTTTTAAATTATTCATAGACAAATTATAGATGGTAGACTACAATAGGTAACGAATAGCGAATAAGTCAACGATTGCAAAATTTTTTCAGAGTTCTTCATTTTTTGTCCGACCAAGAAAAACAAGAAGAAGACTCGTATCAAAAGTATGAGGAATTACAAGATGTCTTGAAAACCAGTGAAAGTTACAGCTCTGGAGACGAAGGATCCGAAATTAATCAGAACAATCAAGATTCAAAGAGACAGAGCTACAATTCGATTCACAATTCAAAGAAAACCGAAAACGACTGAACATGAGTGATGCTGTGTAATCAAATCTAGATCGCCATGCAGAATGAAATGATATAAAAATATGAGGGCGTAACCAATCTATGATCCAACCTGGATTCAGCACAGCATGTTGGATACTATACTTGGACCCATCATACATGTATGTATAGACCCCATAACTAAACATGCACTTTTTCGCGTTGCCGCTCGTCGGATATTGTATCGGACTAATTCACTGAAATTCTTACTTTAATATTTTATTTCATTATTTCGGTCTAATTACGTATATGCTGCATTAAAATCCTAAACAGCGGTGGTCTACAATGAGTGACACTCAGACTGTATACGGTTTTCAGAATAGTGAAACTAGTACTGCTGCTGGCTCAACAATAGCACAAAATTTCGTGCTAGCTGGTAAAAGAGCAGAGGATTAAATCAAAACTCAATATAGAGGTGCAAAACGATGTCACAGGCACGCTCTTGTGCACAGTTTAGAAACTATATTTGATAACTTTAAGGTCCACACTCCCAGAAAAAGAACCCCCTTTTGCAAATGGTGACTACGCGCCTGCAGTTTCACTGTCCTGAAACCAAAGAGAAAAAATTATTCAACGTCTTAACCCAAAAAGGAACATAGACATTATTGTCACAGATGGAGATTTCTTAGCTGCTTTAGCGTTTAACTAACTTTGAATATTTGATATTCACTGGTTTATTTTTTACAAGTATAACGTTGTAAAAATGACATTCTTCTGTATAGAGCGATAAATTTTTATGGGTATGCAAAGCCCCCTGAGTTACAGTTCAAATATTTATATAGGCATTCTCACATCAACCAAAATTTAGCCCAACCTTGATTGACATAATAAAACGCATATTCGAACACGATATAAAAATAAATAAATAAAAATTATATCTCTCGGAACATAACGTTACCATTTGGCTTCTTGCATAATGATGTAGACCATGTTAAAATTACATGTAGATGTAAAATTAAGACAGCCATAAATGTTTGTTCTGTTCACATTTTAAAAAATCGAATACAAATTTGAATACATCCAATTTTTTATGAGACTTCAACTTGTGAAATGCCTCTATATTGGGTTTGGGGGAATTGTGCTTGTGTCTATACTTGGAATTGCAGGCAACTACATATGCTATTGTATTCATTGTGTTTTAATTTTCTGATTAAATAAAATAATGTTTATTTTACCGTTTCAAATTTCGTTTATCTCTATGATAAAATCTGGCTAATATACCTATAATATAAGTTGTCCGGTATGGTCTAGTGGTTAGGATTCCTGGTTTTCACCCAGGCGGCCCGGGTTCGATTCCCGGTACCGGAATATGAGAGTTTTTTCTTTCGGTAAGTACGTACGTTACTAAAAGTAGTACTTGCATAGAACAAGGTAGTTAAGGGCAATGTTTGGGGGATCAAATCAAAGCTCAACCCTTCTCACACTTGGATTCCATTAAAAAAACCTTTAATTAATGATCTTAATGACTGGCCAGCCTTTTAAAAAACTCCACACCTTCCTATACAAGTGTACTTGAGGGGTTTTATAGATTTTTTTTTTTTGTTTTTGGTCTGAACTGCGAAAGATTAGTACCTTTGCAAGACATATAGACAGAAAATATGACTTTAGGTAATTTTTCAAAAGGGAACAATATATCATTTAAGATATTTAAAAGTATACTGACAAGATTTTGGATATATGTAAATAACTTAAGTTTGAAGAAGTTAAGAGTAATGTCTAGAAATGGCACTAGTAACTTTTGATAATACTATGAGAACAAAATTCTGTTACAAAAGTCTAAATATCAAAGTGGGCAATGCTTAGACACTGAAATATAATATCACATTCCACAAAGGAGCTCATCACAACTTATACTCAAAGTAAACTAATCTGTAGACCTTAAGAAATATCAAAGAAACATCTTTGAAGTATCACAGATTTTATTTTTTCTCAATCAGTTTACAATATAAAATTGTTACCTAATTGTCTTCATATCTGACATATCATATTTAGTTGTACTGTTCACGTGCCACAACCCCTTGCATATCCTTATTACATGAATCATACTGCCTATACAGCATAATATTGCAACTAAGGAAAACATTATGGCCACTTAAAGAGCTTTAACTCATTAAACCTCGAGTTGAATAGAAACTGTGGAAACCAATGGCTACTTAAATTTTAAAATATGAATACATTGTGGTTTTTGTAATCCTTCACTGTTGCATACTCTGTTTCTTTACCATTGAGTTTTCTGTTGCGTAATGACCTTTCAAAAATACATAGGTTCCATATTAACAACCTTAACAGCTGAGAAAGAGAAAGAGAGAGAGAGCGAGAAATATTTTCAAAGACATGCTTCCAGGGTGTCTATCAACTTCTTATTTACTTGTAGAAGTCAAATGTCTGCTTTACACCAGCATGATGTAACTTCTATGTAGAGTTAGATAGTTTACTAACCTACTCTCCACATATCCTAATAAACAAAACACTGGTATCTGCACAGGCCAAATGTCTGCTGGGTACAATATGATTCTGACTTGATATATATGTATAATGTGTTTGTGTATATAGTATTTACAGCCCTTATTTATACAACAGTTCCAATTTTATTATCCCTATAATCTGTACATAATGTACAATGGCAAAGAAATAATACATCCCATAGTAACAAATGCATCGTTTTCAAACCACAGGCATAAATGTATTTCTAGGCTACTGAATTTGCACTTTGCATATTCCATATGACAAACTAGGCTCACATTAGCATAACCTTTTAAGATTAAAAAAAAGATAAATAATATAAATAGATACACTAGAAAGACTATTTTATGATTATCTATTCAAGTTTAAGGTAATGTTTTCCGCTTTTCATAAAAAAACTATATTTGAATACAATAGCAAGCATGCCACTATGTTTGTTTAACAAGATATTTTAATTTATGATTTAGTAGATGTGCACTTTTTTTTAGCAGATGTACATTTTTTCCTCTAAGATACAAGTGGCACAGAAAGTGGGCATTTCAGACTGCCTTAGGCCGTTTCAAATGTGAACATTTTAATGCTGACTATATCTGTAACCAATGGAAGTTGATATCCCATAATAATAGGTGCATCATTTCTCCACCCAAGTTTATTACCATGGTCCTGCAATTGGAAGACCTTAAGCTGATATGGGTAAGTCAATAAAACAGATTAGAAATAATCAATAATTTGTTAATTACCCATATTACATACATAAAAGAAATATGTATTTACTTGTGGTTGTCCCCTTATGAAGAATATCTTAACAATAAATAAATAAACAACTAAATAAATAATAAATAAATAAATATGGCATGAAAAGTGGTCTACCTCATAAAAGACTTTGACTAAGAAAGCAACTAGGTTACATTACAATGCCACATAATGAACTTCAAACAGCATCTATTATGCTACTTTTGATTGAGGTAGAGGTCCAAGCTATTGCTTCATTGCAAAACTGATACAATGGACCAGTGTTTAGTGTAATGTGCCACAGTAACAGTACCCGAATTTGCATGGGATTGGGGTTCCACAAGCCTTCTTTTTATCTTCTCTAATATTCAGACAGTAATTTCCACCCAAATTCATATATTACTTTATAAAACTTAGAACTGAAGCAAGTCAAATATGTCATCTGAATTTAAAATGTGTCTTGCTTATTAATTGCATATCAGTAAATGACGTACAATATTTCACACCCTGATTATAAGAAGGCGATCAAGTTCACTTTTAACAATTATTGTTCTCATACTGCCATTGATCATGTGGGTCTTTATCATCTTGTTATCCAATTTTTAAAATGAGTAAGAAAAAAAAATTAATTCAAATAATGTTACTTTTGGGATGATTGGAATTTCTTTTTCAATGTGCTGTGTCATATTCAGCATTTTCCAAACAGGCAGTTTTCAAGCTGTATCAGTAACAAAATATTTTGGGACCTTGGTGTATTTATAACATGCAATATACCATTGATTTTTGTTACTGTATAGTGAACTCACTGCAGCAGGTTATTAAGCTGTGAACTTTGATTTGCCAATTTTTAAAGGTATTTCAAACCAAAAAATTTATTCATTTGTATTGAGTAATGAATTTTGAATATTTTCATTTTCTGATTAAATATATCTTTCATTGCAAAACAAAAGTGAGAGTGCATTTTTATAGTACTGGTGTACTTATTGATGTGTTTTCAATGCTGAATTCAACCCTTTTCCAACTGCCACACCACATGAAAATGACTTTCAGTGTAGTATTATGAGCTCGAGGACTGATCTTGTTCTAAAGGCCTCTCTGGCATCAATTCCAGCAGTTCACAAACATACTTGGCTACATCCACCTCCACCCTTTCTGATCGCACTATAAATTCATGACTCTGGAAGAGAATCAAAGGTTTTTATATGCAAGTATCTTCTCTAGAAAACAAAACTGATGATGATGATCGTATCTTTACATCGATTAGTAGAATATATATATATATATATGTTCTCTAGAAAACAAAATCCATGGTTCTTATATCTTTACATTGGTTAATTATTGAAAAAAGTTTAATGTGTATTTAAAACTATGTAGACTAAAACTATGTAGAATTTTTTCTTAATTTGAGGATAAAAATCTTCTGTGACACAGTCAAATCAAACTACACATTTGCTGAGGTAAAGTGAAATCAATAGTGTAACCAGGTAACTGTAACTTAATCAAATGCTTAAGATATTCTAATTTGGCTGAGAAATTACTCAATAATCTACTATTTTTATTTATTAAATTATGAAAATAAATAACTTATCAAGCTGTTTGGTTAAAAGATATTTCCTAGACTGAGCCTAGCATCATAAATTGCAGAGATCAATTTTCAACCAATATAACCAATTTCTACTGATACAATTTGTACATACAATACAACATGGTAATACTAAGCAGCGAATCTCTGCATTCTATGAAGTTTGCTTAAAATTACACTTATATTTCATCAAATTGAAAAGAATTAGGAAAATGCACCACAGAATTCTGTGCTTGTATCAATCTAACTGATATTTTGTACTTACTAGCAATTTATTATATTTTGGCCTTTGTTTCTCATCTTTTGTTAAACTGGAAACAAAGGGACAAAGTTTTTACAGTGTGCAAACCATATCATTTTAAACTAACACTAAATAAATGTACTGTTTTGAATATAACAGTCATATCTAATGTTACAAAGTAATGTTTTAAAAACTTCTGTTCTGTGACTTAAATGAAAATAAATGTAAAGAGCTATGTATTCATATAAATTAATAGAATTCTTCATTAATTTCAAAAAGGGATGAAAACAATCTGCTTTCAACCTGCATTTTACTTGGAAATAAGTCTACATTGAAAAATGTAATTTTATTATCGAAAACTTACCAAGTATTGACAAAATTTACAAACTGTGGTGAGTATATTTCGTCTGCCGGGTCCAGCTGGGGGGCTGCCCCTTGCACAACCTGAGCTAGCTGATCAAACACACTGTTCCACTTAGGATATGGAAACTTCCCAGTAGCCAATTCATACTGAAAACAAAATGATACAGCACACTGCTGTTTTTAGAAATGTTCACATATTGTACATTGGTTATGATGTAATTCTTGATGAATATGAGGTCATAAAAATTACTTTGAGCAGACCTATGACTGCCTATGGTCAGATTAATCACAAGGTACTTCTCAGTCTATAACCCCCCTCCCATCACACATACACACCTCAAAAGGAAGTTGTATAAAAGTATCTGGTTCCAGGAGAAAACCTGGACATACATGAACCTAGATGTAATAGTTATTTTTAAGCATCATTGTTAGGTTTCAAATAGCACTCACCAGTGTGATTCCTAAACTCCACACATCAGACCTCACATCATATCCCCTGGAGGAGTGCCGGGGGTCTATTCTCTCTGGCTGTTATAAAAGAAAGGTATATACCTCTGTGAAGCAATGTTAGGTAAAGTATTTACTAACGGCGTTCTTGAAAAAAGCAAATCACTGAAAACAACTGTCAGTTTTAAAATCCAAATCTTGTGAAGTTAGACACAGAGTAGCATCTGATATTATCTATTTTAGAGGAAAAATATTCTCCCTAAAGACTAAAAACAATGAGCAGATTCTATTTGACCTTTCGTGATTTTAATAATACACAAAATTGGAAAATTTACTAACTGCCATGTAAGGTCTACACCCTGCATCCCTTGTCTTCGCTATGGAATCTACCAACTGTCCACTGATGCCAAAATCACAAAGCTTAATGTTGCCCTGCCGATCAAGAAGAATGTTGGAGGGTTTCACATCTGAAAAGACATAATAACAAGAATATGTTAATGACATATATCAACAAAATGTGATGATTGGGGTAAAAATATAATTCTTTGTTAAAACTAAGCATTTTCTTCACTTGGATTTCAACAAGTATGAAAAGCTATATAAATGATTCTAAATAACTCTTTATAATTTTGTAAATTAATTATGTGTGCACGTGTGCATATATATATATATATATATATATATATATATATATATATATATATATATATATATATATATATATATATATAAGAAGAATAACCATTTAAATAGCAATTTCATCTGTTACAGAGTAATTGCAAAATGAACTCTTGAAGTGCAGCATACCTCTGTGAATGATCTTTAATTTTTCTTTTAAGTAATTCAGTGCCTTCACAGTCTGAAATAAACACAAACACAATCAATACATATGGTATGCAATATGCTGTCTATACCACATGAACTTAACCTGCTAGACTTTTGTCCCAACAGTGTGGGGATAAGACACTGTTACAATACTTGAAAGCTGTATCATTTCTATTTTTCTAATTGATGTTATATAGAAATCCAATGTGTCCACTCAACCCATTATACTTACAGCTACTGTTATTTTTCCTAATATATCTTCTTCTATCCTTGAGTGTAAGTGTAATGTTCCATATGAACCAAAGATGAAACGGTAAAATTTATCTAATGAGACTGCCATTAACTCCATGCATATCCAGCAATCACCCTGCAATGAAACAATAATAGTATTTATCCAGTATTTTAAAATCTTAAACCATTATCAGAATATTTCTGTTCATGGTTATCATCCTTGATAACCCCACATGCCAGTTTATCTTCTCATATAGTTTACAAAAATTTTTAATGCTTTTTGCTGAAGGTGTAATCTTATTTTAATTCGGGACTAAGTTTGACTTCTAGAGTTATGTAGGTACAACAGAAACTTTGTTTCTAGACAATTGCATATATGATTTTGCCCATTTCACAATTTTGTAAACTCAAAAGCTTAGGCAAAATGGCAATTTTTTTAGTGTATAAATGAAACAAATCTAGCGATTAATTAACATAATGATTTAAATTTGTCCTGTTTAAACTGCATTAGTTGCAAAATAAAACTGAAATTATTGAGAACAGAGAAAGGCTCATATTGGTGTAAGATGATTATGCACTTCAGTGAGAACCGCTAATATTTAGGAATGAGCTGATTAACAAGTTTTATTTGAATAATTTTTCTGATATGGGGCATTTAAGGGTTTGGAAAAAGTGTTTCAAATGAACAAACAAAGGAGAGGAGACAGTATAGAAATATGATCCATATCTATTCTCAAGGATTATGTTTAACCAATAATTTGCCACCTTCAACATCAAAACTGATCACCTGCATTTTTAGATAACATAATCAACTTACTTCTTTGAAGAGAGCACCATAAAATTGCACAATATAAGGACACTCATTGCTGCGCATTACGACATCCAAGTCCATTAATAATTGTTTCTGTTCTTTTTCATCAACTGTAGAGCGTATCCTCTGAAAAACAGGAAAGATATAAAATAAACAAGTAACCTTAATTTATCTTGTCACCAAAAATGACCACTTTTTCACCTACCTTTAGAGAATAATTCATAAAAATTCACAATACCTTAATTTGGCACAGAAATGTTATTTTCATTCTCCAAAATCAATACAGATAATAATTTAGAATGCTGTGCATTAATTTTTCATATTTTCTATGCATTTATAACCATTATATTCAATGTCCATGTGGACCTTTGCATTTCATTCTTCTGCAGTGTAGAAAGCATGAAAAAGGAAATATTCACTATTCAGTTAAGTTGTTACTATCGTTATTATCATCATCATTATTAATGTCACACTTTATTTCCTTTTAAAAATCATATTTCACTGAGCTGCATAATAACCCCCTTGTAACCAGAACCATTGATAATTACAGGTACCAGTGGCAAGGTGATATCTGTCACAGGCCTCATAGATGATAACTACCAGTTGAGACTTGGACCGTCAGATTTGTGATTACTGAAACTAATTACCTAAAACTGCAATTTCAAGAAAACAGTTGTTGCAAGCACAACATTACAAATTGTGAATCAATGGGATGGGTCTTTTGTTGTTTACATACTGCATTTCCATAATCTTCTATTCCTACTGTGTTATTAATATGAAAGTAGTGTGCTCTCAATTATATCCAGCACATACCAAATGTTCCAAACACCAAGGTTAGTGGACTTAGGCTTGTTGTTCACAGTTTATAATGCAATCCTCACACCAAGTTTTTTTTACAATAGCACAATGAAATCACTGGTCAAGTCGTTAATTCATCAATATATCTGTGTCCCAAAGTCAACACCAGTTCTCACCTTAACTGCCATAATAGTGTTACTCTGTTGATGGAGCATTTTGTTGACTGTACCAAATGCTCCCCTCCCTATCTCACCCAAGTCTTGCAGGTCATCCGCCGTGAAGTCAAAAATCTACAACCAATATCATGGTATTAATAAACATTACACAGAATAACATTTGTGTAAGAAAACACAACTTAAAACATGTAACATGTGAACTAAAAACAAAATTTATGAAAATTAATCACAAAGTTAATAAAAACAAACTAGACTTGCAGTGATTGGGAGCAATCACAAATTAAATCCTCCCGCTGTGGTGGTGCTGCAGAAGTCCTTGTGGCTTAGGTGGAAACTTGTTGTTGAGGCCAGGTGATATTAAAATAGGCAGGATGCTTTTTTTTTGGGGAAATCTGATTCGAGGGTGAATAAGTAGCTAATGGTTGAAAGGAATCTAATATCATAATGAAACCAATCCTTGTTGTTTTTCCTTAAACAGGCATACAAAGTGGTTTTAGTTGGAAATGATACACAAAAACAGCACTTCCACAAAATCAAACACGTGTATATTAAGTGTCTGTATGTAAACATCAACACATTTACAAAGATCTTACCAGTTCTGGTGAAATCTGTAGTTTCCCTGATGATTCTAGGCTCTGTGACCGCAACCTCTCACTAAACAATAAAAAAATGAAATAAATGAAAAATACAGATGACATAACACTTATTTTTATACATACCTAAGATTATAAATGTTAAGGACCAGCTATTATTATTTTTTACTTATCATACCATTAAATATGATGAAAAGACCTAGACATTGTGGCCTTTTGTTCTCAACAAAGTATAAAGCAAGTTATCCCAGTAACACTATTTCCTTTTGCCATTTAAGCCTAAGAATGACTGCTTTAAGTTCAATGTAACATATTTATACAGCAAAGATGGGTAAAGGTGAGTCATAATTGGGCTATAAATGAGGCATATATTGAAGTAAATGTATCAATTACTATTGGCAAAAGAGTGTTGGGGTATGATGAAAAAGAAATCCCACTGATAATATCATCCTATTGGGATAATGCACTTTTGTTTGGCCAAACATGAGACTTATGTTCAAGTAATAGGCAATTCATTTACGTTTATTATGATATAACGTTGTTATGATTCACATACTGAGAGAAATATTTGTAGATTAAATTAAGTATAAGGATGACAGTCCGCTGGTCTGGAAGTACTACCCCTCAAAATATTTTTTTTTACTTATTTTTCCATCCAAGAAATTCTCCTTAAAAAAAAAAAAAAAAAAAAAAAATCAACCTGCAAAAGATAACTGTGTCATCCAATAAAACTTTGCTTTGTAATTTTTCACACTGAAAATTTATACACCCAATAACTTAATATTTTATTGTGAGATCCTGAATACAGGTGGTTTAAGAATATCCTGAAAATCAAAACATGACATTCAAAATTGGAAGCTGACTAATCAAAGCCCAGATCAGTGGACACAACTGTTTCCAGGTTATTACATTTGGTGACTAATCCCTTTCAATTAAGTGTGTCAAACACCAATAGATCAGATATTGATCTCCTATTGTACATTCGGGGCTGTGCATTCCATCATCAGAGAGGTATCCCAGGTTACATTTTAAATGATAACAGAAATGCAGAGAGGACACAATGTGAATTTATTGCTGATTAACATCTTTCATAGTTTACAATGAAGCTATTTTTTATTTGTTTGGCATACATTTCATTTTGGAATGTTGGAAATGTAAACTGATACAGAGGAGTGACTATCAGTTATAAAATAAACATATTCAATTTAAAATAAACATGCAAACAACACAATTAATGATTTTTGTGGAATTTTGATATCAAATAGCGTGGTGGAAATGTTTTTAGTCTAGGACTTAAAAATATGTATTTAACACAGTCCTAATAACAAGTCTTTCCACTGGCACCAAAAGGCGATTGGTTTATTAGGATGGCCTGTGGACAGCCTAGCAAATTTTCAGAAAGTAATTTGACACACCCAGGTTGTATGATGCATAAGAGTTTAATAAAACTACATTTTCGACTCCTGCAATCTAAATATTAAATCTTAGGAAATACTAATTAGGTAACTGAACCAATACTCCCCCACACTGATGCTCCTCCCCAGCACAGATTCCCTTAGATGCCAAAAACAATTCTAGATTAAAAATTTTTCTGTGATACATTTTTTTTCCGAAAAATGCCCCGCCCTCTTGGGACCCAAAAGTGACAGATCTCATTCAAAATATTGTACAAAAATAAGGAAAAAAATACTAAAATTGGTCTGCCTTGTAACCTAAGACATAGTCTATAGTTCACATTTGTGTGCAAATCGGCTTTGTGATTTTTGAAAAATGTCTGTATACTTCATTCTTTAACAGTGAATACGGAATACAGATAACACAACCTTTTTATTTCTATATATCTATCTATTTTAACATTCAATAATTTGAATTTTTAAACAGAATTAATTTTTGATTCCTTTGGTGCACTCATGTCTGGTGAAGACATTATAGATAGTGGAAGCTAAGTTAATTTAAAAATGCATTTATTTTTCCGTGAACAGACCCAACTCCTGGTGATAGTTATTCTATGATATTCTTCACTGAGAATGAATAAATGTAGTTAATTCATCAACAGTCCAAATGTTGGGGACATTACAGCGGGTGAATGAGAGGAGGCTCACTCCCATCTTGACTGGTGATGGGTTACTGCCAGGTAAATACTCTAGCAGGATCTTCTTTATGTCCAGTGCAAGGGCAGAATATGTTTTTCAGCACTGTCTTGTCAGCATCATCTTGTTTGCTCTGAATAAAAAAATGCTCATGTCTGTCATTTCTAGATTAATATCTTCAACAGTTTTCTGCAAAAATAAAATATTTTAAAATGTAAAATGTATTTACAGTGAAATTACCAATAAGGAATGGATTACATACAACACAATTTATGTTGAAAAATGTACTTTGAAAAAAAAAAAAAAAAA